AAGAGAAACATGCCAGCCCATGCTGGCCCAGACTGCAAAGAGCCTGGAGGAGCTGGGAACCCACTGTGAGCTATGCTATCCCAGCAGTGGAGCTGGTGCAGGATCATCAATCACGATGATGCCACAGAGTAGAAAAAGATGAGCCCTCAGATAACACCGAAGATGAATGTGGAAACTGACATGTGATTAAACTGGGATCCTCTGCTGGTGGCTGACAGCCCACTCTGAGTGCGAAGTTAGCACAGCCGGGCCTGGGCTCTCAGCACCCGCAGAGGCACCTGCCTCACCTCCTGCCATAGGTAAAGGATTTTCCCTCCAGCCACACAGCATCCTGTCATCCTGACCCTGGGAATGGGTGAATTAGATGCACAAGGGGACCAGCGCAGGTGCTGGGAAGCACAGGAGGATAACACTATTAGTCACTATTTTAGGCTGTCTGGCCTTTGTTAATGATAATAATAATGAGAGCACTGGCTGAGCACTGGCTATAAGTACTTTAGATGCATTTTTTAATTTTCATATATCAACCCAGGGAAGCGAGAATTAAATCAGGTGGTGAGGGCAACAGCTTCTGGAGCAAACAAAGGGACAGAGCGGGATCGATCCATCCATCCATCCATCCATCCATCCATCCATCCATCCATCCAGTTATCCAGCCAATTTTTATTGAGCACCTACTAGTACCATTATATCTGCATCCTATCCATCATGTCCACAGAAGTGAGAAAAGCCCACATGCTCTCTGCCTTCATGGGGCTGCATCCTAGTCAGGGAGGCGGACAATAAAAAACTGACTCAAGAAGATAATCTAGGATAGTAATAAATGCTAGGAAGAAAATGAATTAAGGTGATGCCAACGAGAGTGATGGAAGAAGCAACTTCACATAGGGTGGTGAGAGAAGGCCTCTCGAAAGAAGGGGCATCTGAACCGAGATCCCACAGTAAAAGGGGCTGGCCATGGAAGTAGCTGGGGGAAGAGTGTTGTGCGCAGAGAGGACAGCAGGTGCAAACGCTCAAGGCAAGAAGGAACTCAGGATGTCTGAGGAATTGGAAGGAGGCTCATGCGGCTGGCTCTGCAAAGTGAGGGGAGGGGGGTGGTGTCGGAGACATAGGGCTTCATAGGCCAGGGTAAAGAGTTAGGATATTTGTTTCATGAGATCCTCTGAAAGGTTTTCAGTAGGACAGCTTTCAGTAAGATTGAATTTATCTTTTTAAAGGCTAACAGTGGCTGGTATATGGAGAATAGAGAGGAAGGGAAGAAGGGAGAGCAGTTGAAAGGCATTGAGGCCATCAAGGCTTTGCACCATCTGGTGTCAAGATGTAAGCTCTTAACTGTTTTAGACCATCATCATTCTTATCAGTCACCACCACCACCATCACCACCACCACCACCATCATCATCACCACTACCATCACCATCATCATTACCATCATCATCTCCATCACCATCACCACCACCACCACTACCATCACCACCACCATCACCACCACCACCACCACCATCACCACCACCACCACCATCATCATCACCACTACCATCACCATCACCACCACCACCACCATCATCATCACCATCATCATTACCATCATCATCTCCATCACCATCACCACCACCATCACTACCATCATCATCACCATCACCACCACCACCACTACCACCACCATCACCACCACCACCACCACCACCATCATCATCACCACTACCATCACCATCATCATTACCATCATCTCCATCACCATCACCACCACCACCACTACCACCACCATCACCACCACTACCATCATCATCACCATCATCACCACCACCACCATCACCATCATCATTACCATCCACCACCACCACTGCCATCATCTCCATCGCCATCATCACCACCACCACTACCATCATCCTCACCATCATCACCACCACCAACACCATCACCATCATTACCATCATCATCTCCATCACCATCACCACCACCACCACTACCACCACCATCACCACCACTACCATCATCCTCACCATCATCACCACCAACACCATCACCATCATCATTACCATCATTACCACCACCACCATCATCATTTCTATCACCACCACTACCATCATCACCACCATCACCACCACTGTCATCCCACCACCACCATAAAAGTCACAATCACCAGTCGGATGCAGTGGCTGACACCTATAATCCCAGCACTTTGGGAAGCCCAGGCGGGCAGATCATGAGGCCAGGAGTTTGAGACCAGCCTGACCAACATAATGACACCCTGTCTCTACTAAAAATACAAAAAAAAATTAGCTGAGTGTGGTGGTGCATGCCCATAATCCCAGGTACTCGGAGGTTGAGGCAAGAGAATTGCTTGAATCTGGGAGGCGGAGGTTGCAGTGAGCCGAGATCACATCATTGCACTCCAGCCTGGGCGACAGAGCAAGACTCCATCTTAAAAAAAAAATCATAATCGCCATTATCACCACGGCCACCACCACTGCCACCACGATCATGATCACTATTATCCAAGGCATTGAGATGACAGTGGTTTGGATTAGGATGGTAGTAGGAACAAAGGAGTGAAGCGGGTGAATTGGAGTATATTTTGGAGGGAGGTCCAAAGGCTTGTAGATAGACCATGGAGGTAGGGAGGACATTGGTGAACAGAAGCAGCAACTCTAGCTGAATCCCTTGGTATCTCCCCAACTGGAATAATTTGTCCAATTTTCCTACCGCTCTTCTTGACTCTTGTTACTGTCACCTACCAGGCACTTGATCCTGCTTCAGGAAATCATGGTATGACTAGAAAAGCCCTGGATCTGGAATCAGGCATCCAAGTTTCTCACCCTGTGTGTGACTTTGAATTCATGGTTTAACTTGTCTGAAACTCAGTTTCCTCATCTGTAAAGTGGAACTGTGGTAACACTCACCTCAGGATTGTGGGGCTAGTGCTGGGCTAAATTCATGCTTCATTATATCTTGATTCTTCACATGGGGCTGCTGGGGAAACGGAGGCCACTTGGAGCCTCTTAACCAGCTACAAGCTTCAAATGCCCCATTGAGGAATTCCAGGCCAAACATCAACCCTCCTTACTAGGTCTTCTTGGTTTAAGAGAAATATCTTCTCTCTGATTCTGAGATTATTCATGTTGTGGGATTGGGGAGGGAGGAAGGGACACTGAGGAAAGATGACTATTACCAGAACGCTTTTAAATCTGGGTATTTACGGCAAAACCATTCAGATTTATGGTCTAAAATAGTTGAGCTTGCATCTCGACACCAGACTAACCTGTCACTTATCAGCCATGCAGACAAGTAATGCTAACTTTCTGAGCCTTGGTTTTTCCTCTCCTATAAAAAGGGAATAATAATGTGTCATATAGGGTTGCTGTGAGAATCACAGGAATTAGTCTGTAAAATGCCTGATGCATAGTAACTACTCGGTGACAGCTGCCATCATCACCACCATTGCCCAAACTAAGACACTGGGTTATTGTGAAGATTAAACTTGTCAAGCTCTTGGCATCATCACCATCAGCAACAGCAGCATTACCATCATCACCATCATTATCATCACCATCAGCATCATCATTATCACCACCATCACCATCACCATCATCATCATTATCATTATCACCATCATCACCATAATTATCACTATCATCATCATTATCACCATAATTATCATCACCATCATCATCATTATCACCATCATCACCATAATTATCATCACCATCATCATTATCACCATCATTACCATCACCATTATCATCACCATTATTACCATCAGCATCATCATCATTATCACCATCAGCAGCATCACTATCATTATAGCCATCAAAACCAGCAGCAGCAGCAGCATCACCATCATAATCACCATCATCACCATCAGCAGCATCACTATCGTTATAGCCATCAAAACCATCAGCAGCATCACCATCATTATCCCCACCGTCACCATTAGCAGCATCACCATCACCACCGTCAGCAGCACCAGCAGCAGCAGCATCACTGTCGTCATCCCCATCATCACCACCATCAGCAGCATCACCATCATCAACACTATCATTACCATCACCACCACCACAGCAGCATCAGCATCACCATCAGGAGCAGCAGCAGCAGTACCTCACCATCATTCTCTCATGGGCAATGTTGATGCCCACCCATATCCCTTCAGCACTGCCATCTCAGAGTACAGTGGCCAATGTCTAGTTGCCAGCATCTGCATCTCTGCTTGAGGGCTTTCTGTGAGAATTAGAGCACGCTGTGCCTGTGCTCTGGCAGGTGGAAGTACCAGGAAAGAAATACCTACGCTCCTCAGGAGGAGCCCTCAACCAACGACTCACAGGAGTTGAATAAACACACAGGCTCCCTTGCTGCTTGGGTAGGGTAACTCTAAGGGACATCTTGCACATTGTTTCTCACAGTTCTCCAGTGGAATTAAGCTCGAGTTGCCCCCAGCGGTAGCTTGCTTGGTTGAGCACCCTTTTATAGGCTGCCTCCCCCTCCTTCTCTCATCTCCCCACTCTTGCATTTCTTAGGACTGCTATTTATGCTTTAATCTTTGCCTCACATTCAGCTTCTGGAGGAGCCCAAACCTAAGACACTGGATTATTGTGAAGATTAAATTTGTGAAACTCTTGGTGCATATTAAATGCTCAGTAAACTCACTGTTATGTGAACAAATAAGTGAAGCCTCACCTGCCCTGAGGATACAGACCCAGGGCAGAGGAAAGAGGGAGAGACCTGGGACTGCAGAAGATGGGAGGTTTCCCAGAGAGGTTGTCCCTGCAGTGCCCCTACCTGTCAGCAACTGGTGTCATTACTCCATGCCTCCCCATTCTGAGTTCTCTTCCTGCCCCTCCAGTGGTTGCAGGTTCAAGGTGTGGCTGGACCACATTGGTCAGAGTGCTTTGAGCAGCTCAGCAAGATGCTCTCATCACCAAGCTCCCATGTCAACTCTCTGGAAGGACAACATCCCCCGAGCGCTGGACTGGAGAGAAAAACACTTAAGCAAAGTAAACATGACATTGAACTTGTTGTGCCTTTAATGTTTAAACAATTTAAATATCATATTACAAAATGACAAGGTTGTACAAATCAACATTTAAAACATGAGAGCCTTGAAGAGTCTTCCTCTGTCCAGTTCTCCCAGGGCTCATCATGGCTACCGTGCTGGCTCCCCCTCCCTGAGGCCCTAACCCCTCTTCCTTGAAGGACTCTGAGAGGCCAAGGGACTTGTCTAAGGTCACAGAGCTCTCCTGGTTTTGTCTCTGGTGCTGCTGCCACTACACATTGCAGGGCCACTTTCAAAACAATTTTGCCTGGGGAAATAAAACCCAACTACCTCTTAATAGAGTTGCTGCAATTTTAATTTTCCTCCAGGCTGGAAGCCATGGAGAGAAGTCCATGGAGATCCAAGAGCCCCAAGTGGTGTTGTCATGTAGCAAGCTTGGCGTCGGAGGTGACTCTCTGGAGGGCTGGGGGGAGTGAAGGCTTTGTGTGCGTGGTTAAAACTTGAAAGCTGTGAGGAGGGGAGCAGTGGCTCACATCTATAATCCCAGCACCTTGGGAGGCCAAGGTGAGCAGATCACCTGAGGTCAGGAGTTTGAGACCAGCCTGACCCACATGGAGAAATCTCCATCTCTACTAAAAATACAAAATTAGCTGGGCATGGTGGCGTGTGCCTGTAATCTCAGCTACTCAGGAGGCTGAGGCAGGAGAATCGCTTGAACCCGGGAGGTGGAGGTTGCTGTGAGCCGAGATCTAGCCATTGCACTCCGCCCTGGGCAACAAGACCAAAACTCTGTCTCAAATGAACAAACAAACAAAACAAAACAAAAAAATACCCATGAGAGCTGTGAAGGGAAGTCTTCCTCTGTCTGGTTCTCCCAGGGCTGATCGTGGCTATGGTGTTGGCTTCCCCTCCCTGAGACCCTAGCCCCTCTGAGTGCAGAGAGCACTAGCTCTGAGTCCATTTCTGAGGGGTCTGAGAAGCATTTCAGACAGGGATGCCTTGGAAGAAGACTCAGACCTTCCCCCTGAAATAGCTCTGTTCTCATGCTGGGTACATGGAGACAGAGCCAGCAGGGGAGAGGAGGAGGCATCCAGGCTGCTCCTGAGAGTCACAGGGTTTAGGTGGGGCTCTGTTTAAGGACCCACTCGCCGTGCGGGTTGGCACGGTACAGATCTAAGAGGTAGGCATCTGGGTCCAGGCGATGCTCATCTGTGGGAAGAAGGGGTGAAGGAGGTTGAGTGGAGGCTGTGGGCCATGCTGCTGCCCTGCCCAGAGCCCTTCGCCAGGCACCACTGTCCCCTGGCTCTATGTGTCTTGACTGCTACAGCTCACAGCTACCTCTTTTGCTGGAGAACTGACCTCACTGATGGAAGATGCCTTACCAGAAAAGTGATGCTCCCCCCTCCCCCAGGGAAGCCCACAGTTGATGACTGACTGACAGACTTACAAAAGACCAGTCTCCCTGCCGCAACGTGGAACAACTCCGATGTGATTTGTACTCTAGAGCCCCCTTGTGGATCAGGCCAGGCTCCAGGATGTGGACACTCCTGGCCACTGCCCCTGCCTGATCCTCCTTCACTCATTCCCTTGGAACCCTCTTCCTGAGGGCACCCCCTCAAAGCATCGTGTACTCCTGAAGCCACGTCTTAGCCTCTGCTTCTTGGCCAGTGGCCCTCAAAGTGTGGCCCCTAAACTAACAGGATCTGCAACTCCTGGGAACTCATCAGAAACATACATTCGCAGGCCCCACCATCTGTGTCTTAGCCTTCCAGAGGATTCTGAGGTTCTGCTAAAGTCTGAGGATCACTACTCTAGAGAATGCGAAGGGAAACAGCTTCCCATCAGAGCCAGGGACTTCCCAGAGCCGGACATGTGTCTGCAGAATTCCTTAAGGACTCCTTGGCCCCTGGGCCAGGGATGAGTTCCATCTCAGTTAGGGTGTCCCAGAAGCGTCGGTTTCACTGGTAGTACTGCCAGCCTTCACACTAAACAAACATCCTGCCTCTCTCTCTGCAAGCCTGAGGTCAGTTCTAAGCAAAATCCAAACTCCAAGATAGGTTCCTAAGATTTGCACAGGCTAACCTTCAACCTTATGACAGGACCCCACCTGGTTTCATTGGAGACAGAAGCCTGAAGGGAAGGCTTGTCTCCAGGCAGACTCTGGCCTACCCCAGAAGGGGCCAGTGAGTCTTTGAGATGGAAGAACTCCCAGAGACCCGGGTGCTGCTCCCATTTCCCACAGTGGAACTTACTGATATTCCCTCCAATTTCATAGAGGAGGATGCTGGCTGACTCCATGGACCTGTGGCACAAGACAGAGAGAGAGAAAACTGCTTCCTTTTTCTTCTGGAAACAGCAAAAGCAACAACTGTGCATGGCCCCTAGGCCTGGAAAGGCCAGTCCTCACTGATTTTTGGTCCCACTGTGGAGAAGAAGCATAAGGACCCTCCTGAAAGAGCTGGAGCCAGTGACAGAGTCCAGCACCCAGGGTCTGGGAGAGGCAGCTGGAGGGCACGTGGTGAGGGGCAGCCAGGGTGCACCCTGCTGCGAGGCCTCTTCCTTCCAGGCATCAGAATGGAGACTTCAAGGGCAGGGAAATGAGTGGTGACAGATGGGGACAGGAGCCTGCTGTGAGGGGCAGATTTTGAGTCAAGATGGATTATGGACATTGTATGATTACATATGATAATTATGCTTATCATGTAAGAATCGCAATTGTTACATGATAATTACGGGTATCCTAAGTTCAATTCCATGGCTTCTTATCTGCCATGTGGCCTGAGGCAAGCGCCTTCTCTTTTCTAAGTTTTAGTGCTCCCATCTGTTCAAGGAGGCCCTAGAGCAGACACTTGCTGAAGATGATAGTCTGAGGGCCCCTTGTGCCAGTGCCAAGACGAAAGCTCTTGAAGGCTCAGGCTGTTTCCTGTACCCTGGGAATGACGGCTGCACATCAGCTCCGAAGTTCTTCCAGCTCCCTGGCCAGGCTCTGCTCCTTGCTGCAGGACCTCTGCCTGGAAGCCTCACCTTGCTCCCTGACTACACCAGCCTCCTCGTCTTCCAGGCACACTGTTCTCTGCATTTCTTATGAAATGTAATACAGTTTGTAACTTGAGCTTTGATTCGTAACTACGTGCTTTTTGTCTAGCTCCTCCTCAGGGCTGTGAGCTCTTAAGAGCAGGGCCCCTGTCTGTTCTTTCCATGGCTAGTGTACAACTCGATTAATACACTGTGGGCCAGGTGCAGTGGCTCACGCCTGTCATCCCAGCACTTTGGGAGCCGAGGTGGGCAGATCACTTGAGGTCAGGAGTTTAACACCAGCCTGGCCAACATGGTGAAACCCTGTCTCTACTAAAAATACAAAAAAATTAGCCAGGCGTGGTGGCCGGCACCTGTAATCCCAGCTACTTGGGAGGCTGAGGCAGGAAAATCACTTGAACCTGGGAGGAGGTTGCAGTGAGCCAAGATTGCGCCACTGCACTCCAGCCTGGGCGACAGAGCAAAACTCCGTCTCAAAACAAAACCAAACAAACAGAAAACGGTGCCTGGCTGTAGGCATTCACTAAATATCTATTAAAATGAATAAATGAATGAGCAAGTGGTGGTCATGATGATTATTACTTGGAGCCAAGAAGCTCTCTAAGGTTGGAGAACCCATCTGACCACCCCAGAAAGGGAAGGCCAGGCCAACAGCATGTGTAACTCCCTGGCGGCCTTCAGCTCTGGGGTGCAGAGGCTCCCGCCTCCAGGAAGTGCCCCTTACTGTAGAAGGAGGCTGTCCTTGTCCTCACTGCCTTCTTGACCCTTGGAACCAGGGCTGAGGTGCTCTGTGAACTGCCTCAGGACGTGGGCCACTTTGGTGCTGGGGGTGAGAGGCACCTTCAAGGGGTCCTTGATAGGCCAGACCACCTGGATCTTTGCCACCTTGAGAGTCTGCAGAGAGAGAGAGAAAGTCCATATACACAGGTGCCAGCATGCCTGGAGCTCAAACATGGATGCGTAAGCACAACCATGGCACTTATACAAATGCCCACACTAAAAATCACAAGATGCACACATGTGCACACACACACACACACACACACACGCACGCAGGCCACTTGGGCACAGATCACAGACACACACATTCCAGATGTGTGCACAAACACATAGAAACATGCCTGTGTCTCTACGCCTGTTTGTGTTCCTACGCCTGTGTTTTGCATTCGTACACATAGCAGGGGTACACGCAACGTACCCACAAACAGATACGTAGGTTTGTATAAAGACTCATCATTCACACATCGTGCACGGTGCAGACTCGATGCTGATCAATTTCTCTGATGGGGACTTTGATAAAGAACCGTGTTCAGGACCTCTCCCAGGAATACTCAGTATTTTTGGAAGGCTCTTCCCTTCTACTATCCCCCTCCCAGGCCCAATCACTTCACACCCCTCAGACCCCCATTTTCCCAACCTTCGGCCAGGGTCTGCCTAAAAATGGGGCAGAGGAGATGGCGCCTAGGTGAAGTCTCCGCGTCACTCCATTTCCCCTCCCCAACCCCCTTCTAAGCCCTGGTTTCTCAGTCACACCACCTCGCTCCCCTTGACGGCGCTGCAGCGCCCCCTCGTGGCTTCACTAGGCCGTTGCTGGCAGACCAGTAGCAGGGACCTGGAGGAAGGGATGCACCATGCTCCAGACTCCAGGTGCCCTCCTGTCGCCTCGGCCCTTCTCTACCTGTCTGGGGTCGGGGGCACTCACCGCCTCGAGGCCGTCCCCCGCCTTGTCCTTGTCTGCGTGCATCCTCCTCAGCCAAGTCTTGAGGCCTGCGTCACAGAGCTGGGGGCGCCTGCTGCTGCTGTCGTTCAGTTTTCGCACCTGGGCGACCAGGAAAGAGGCGACCTGGCCAGAAAGGATCAAGTCTGGGCAGGGAGACAGGACTACTGGGGTTGAGAGGCAGAACCCCCTCCATGGTCATCGTGGCCTCTTCCCTGCCCCAGCGTCCCACGGGGCTTGGAAATCTGAGTTTGTTGGGCTTGGGACTGAAGCACTGGTTTGGTGGGATGAGGAGGGGGCATTCAGCCCCTAAAGTGGGCCTTGGAGTAGGGGACCCTGAGAGTGGAGCCCATCCTGAGGCTTAGTGGACAGTGGTCCTCCCGACAGAGGCTGGAGGGTCCTGCGCCTGCTAAGGGGTAGCTGCTCACTGGCACACTCAGACAGGGGTGTCCCCAAAACATACCTGGAGCAGGCTCTGCTCTGACAACCCCCAAGCAGCCCACACTGGGGGATTCCTACAGAGACCTCCAGATCAACCCATACCTCTCTGTGGGATCCGAACCCAGCAGACAGAGTCAGAGAACTCAGGGTCCATGGACCCTGATAATCACAAGTCTGTCTCCAAGGGTCTGATGGAACTGGGGTGGATTCTGAGCTCCCCTCTTTGCTATGTGTGTGCTGTCTAAAGGTGACACACACAGGGAAGGGTGATGGGGGCTCTCCCCTTTCACTTTTTCTACATCTATGTTGTCTGAAGGTTTTCTAACAAAACATTCAAGCATTTCTTGAATTTTTAAAGCTCCCTCCAATAAAAAAGTATTACAATCCAATGTGTTCTAGTAGCAGCAGCATCTCAAAAGGGCTGAGTGCAGAGAAGAAAGGAACTATGGGAGTGAGGGGTGTATGAGGGAGGAGCAGGGGACTTTCCACAGAGGAGTTGACTCTTAAACTAGGAGGTCTTAAAGAATGAGCAGAGGGTACCAGGTTTCTGCTCTTTATAAAAAGGTCGGGGGAGGGAATTCCAGGCAGAGTGAACTGCATAAACAAAGATCAGAAGTGTGAAGTACAAGATGAGTTTGGAGTGCCTGCTGGCACTTGGTGTGTTTAGAATACAGAAGAGTGCCCAGGCAGGGTCAGAGAGAAACTGAGAACAGTGAGAGAGGGCTTCACTCGCTGGTTTCTGGAATAAGAAATCTAACCTAATGACTTCACGGAAAGAGAAGGATAGGAGGAAGGACTGTGGGTGGATGGATGAGTGGATAGTTGGATAGATGCATGCATCTATGCATGTTTGGTAGATGGGTGGGTAGGTGGTTGGATAGATGGGTGGGTTGTTGGATGGGTAGTTGGATAGATGCATGGTTGGGTAGATGGGTGGGTAGATAGTTGGATAGATACATGGTTGGGTAGATGGGTGGGTAGATGATGGTAGATACTTGGATAGATGCATGGTTGGGTAGATGGGTGGATGCATAGGTGAATGGTGGATGGATGGAAAGTTGGAGGAGTTGATGGATAGATAGGTGGGGGGACAGGTGGATGGGTGAGTGGGTAGGTGATGGGCAGTTGCATAAATGGATGGGTGGGTGGGTGAGTGGGTGGACAGATGGATGGGTGGGTGGATGGGAGACGGAATGGAAGGATGCATTAACAGATGGAGGGAAGAGGCTACACATCTCTAGGTGAGAAAGTAGCCTGGTCAGCAGTGGTAGATGATGCTACCTTGTGTTCACAGCAGTCTCAAGAGCTGGAGGGGTCTCAGTGCTGGGGGCACCATGCATGCTGACACTGCAGAGGGAGCCTCGCTCCTCCTCTGGGTCCTCCCCTTGCTGTCACTTGCTACTCAGGGCAAAGCTTACAGTGGGGGCAGGAGGCAGGGGTATCCGTTATCTGGCTCCAGGCTCCATCTTAGGCAGGCCCTGTGATCCTGAGCCTCAGGGATGGGGCTTTCTCAGCAGCATTAAAGCTTTGATGTGAAGGAATTATTTGCGCAAGTTGGGGGAACTCTTGCAATCTGGGGTAGACCAGATGGCAGCAAATTGACTGAGAGGCGTGGCAGTGGAGACAGAAAGTGAAGATGCTTCTTCTTGGTCACTAAAGCAGGGGGAAGAAGAAAACACAGGCCTGGGCAGAGCCCAACAAAGGTCCTGGCAGGGACACACAAGGGAACTGAAAGGTCAAATGTCCAGGTTCCTGAAGGGCAAGGCGGCAGGGCAGCTTTACACAGAGGAGGGGTGCCCAGCACCCAGCAGCACTCACTGTCCATAGCAGATCCTGGTAGTACACCATTATCTGCACCACCTCAGCTGCCCCCTCTGCCAGCTGTTTCTCCATGCCTTTGGGGAGCTTGGGCGGCCGCCCTTGGTGCAGAAAGAGGTTAGGGGCCATCACAGTGGAGACATTCCACAGAGTCATCTTGTTGTGCTGTTCCCGGGCCACCACCTTCCTGAGGAATTCCAGCAGTGCCTGGGGAAGAGTGCAAAACATCCCTCAAATCTCAGCCCATCCCTGGTGCCCCCCACCCCTATCCCAGGGCATCCTGATGCATGACAAAGGGGTGCTCGGAAGAAGCCAGGAGCTGTGAAGGCAGCAGGAGGAGCTCCCATTCCAGCTGCGCCACCAGACCACTCTGTGACCTCTACCTGTCTCTGTTTCCTGCTCTGCAGTGTGTCCAATACTCTCCCTCCCCTGCTCCCTCAGAGACTAATGAGACATCTGGGTCAGACTTCAACTTCCTGGTAGAAAAGGACCACAGGTCTGGAATGAGGCCCAGGACAACGCCTTCTTTCTGGAGTCTGGATCTACCCAAAAACAAAGGAAAGAAGAGGGAAGCAGAGATGCTGGGAAGAGCAGGGGAAGGTGATGAGAGCTACCATTTACTATATATTCTTTGCATTCCTGGGCCTTTAGTTGGTACATCTCATATAATCCTCACTGCAACTCTATAAGGTAGCTCTTTTTTTTTTTTTTTTGAGTCAGAGTGGCATGATCTTGGCTCAGCTCAGTAACCTCTGCCTCCTAGGTTCAAGCGACATTCTCGCCTCAGCCTCCCAAGTAGCTGGGATTACGAGTGTACACCACCATACCCAGCTAATTTTCATATTTTTAGTAAAGACAAGGTTTCACCATGTTGGCCAGGCTGGTCCTGAACTCCTGACCTTAAGTGATCCTCCTGCCTTGGCCTCCCAAAGTGCTGGGATTACAAGCGTGAGCCACTGCACCTGGCCAAGGTAGCTCTTACTATTATATAGAGAAGGAAACAGCCTTGGAGAATGTGCCAAGGGTCACACAGTCAGTAAGGACAAAGAGACAGAGTGCAGAAGGGAGGGAAGGATGGATGGATGAAGAAAGAAAAGATGAATACGTGAATGGATGAAGATAAATGGGTAGAGAAAGGAAGAATAAATGGAAGGGAGATGGGAAGAAGGAAAGGAGGGAGGGAGGGGAGGAGGGAGAAGGGAGGAAGGAAGGGGAAAGGGAGGAAGGAGGGAGAGAGGATAGGAAGAGAAGACACATATTGAGAACCCTGCAAAGCATCTTCTACCCCGTGATTCCTCATGGGTTAGCTTTTATAATTTCAAAAAAAATTAGACAAGATGCTATTATTGCTATTATCATCCTCTGTTTACTGAAAAGGAAGCAGAAACTCAAACAGGAAGACCCCAGGGCTCCTCACAGGCTGACCCTGGAGGCTCATCTTGAGTCTGATGGAAGGACAGCCAAGAGGATACAGGGAGCTGGGCCAAGGATGAGCATCCGCTCCCATACGACAAGGGGAATTTGGTAAGGGTTTGTTTCTCCAACCGGTTCCACGAGGAACACCAGTGCCATGCAGTGCTTTCCACAACAAAAGAGGTCCGTGATCAATGCGTTTGGAGAGTGCTGCATATGCTAATCCCACTTGGAGATTCTCTCAAAGCCTCCATATACCGAAGGCTCTGAGAGGTCCTGGGGACGAAAATATTCTTTTTTGGCTGGGAGGACGGAGTTTCACTCTTGTTGCCCAGGCTGGAGTGCAATGGCATGATCTTGGCTCACCACAATCTCCACCTCCCGGGTTCAAGAGTCGCTGAATGAATGAATGAGCACATTTGGAGTATGACTGTGGCTGTGGGCTGAGGTGGCAGAGTGGCTGAATGAATGAATGAATGAGTGAGTGAGCACATTTGGAGCACGACTGTCACTGTGGGCTGAAATGGCAGAGTGGCTGAATAAATGAATGAATGAATGAGCACATTTGGAGCATGACTGTGGCTGTGGGCTGAGGTGGCAGAGTGGCTGAATGAATGAATGAATGAATGAGCACATTTGGAGGCTGTGGGCTGAGGTGGAGAGTCGCGGTGGTGCATGGTAACTCTTACCTTCAAGGCATTTCTGTTGTGTTCTGGGAGGATGAGGATGAGCAGGTGAAGAACCTGCAGGCGCTGCTTCAGGTCGGGGATGCCTGCCGGAAGGGAGGGGTGTCAGTTTCCATGGGAGGCTCAGGGACTCTCCCTCCCTCAGTCTGGTCTCTTCCTGGGGAAATTTCAGAGCTGGAAAGTCAGGGGACAGCCAGGAACCCTTTTTTATAAGGTGTGGGACTGTTTCCTTCTCTAATGTTGGTTCAGACAGAGCCCTGCCCAGTGCTGGTGGAGAGGGTCACTTGCTATACTTTGTGTAACGACATAAACACGCAAATGCTGCACACACCCAGATATGCAGTCCAAGGCTACAGCCCAAGGTCAGGAATGCAATCAACCAGCAAATCACCTTTAGGAGGGGAGACAGATAGCTCAATGAGCTGAGATAGAAGGTTTCTTGAAACCCTCTGTGTTGTGAGGGTTGAAAAGGAAAAGCTGTCTCACACCTGGTGTTAGGATCTCCGGGGAGAGGAGGTGGCTAGGAGGAGGTAGTAGTTACAGATTCAGAGAAGGAGTTCACCAGAGCCAGACAACACCCAGCAGCTGAGAGATGGCTGGAACCTGGAGAGGAGCTGCGTAGGAGACACGGAGGCTGAGCACCCAGGGCGCAAAGCCTGCAATCCTTCCTTCCTTCCTTCCTTCCTTCCCTCCCTTCTTCCTTCCTTTGTTCCCTCCTACAAATATCTATCAAGTACCTATCAGGTGCCTATGATTCCGTATGACTAACCCTTTTTCCTTCCTTCCATTCTGCCTGGCTGCCTGCCTGCCTCCCTGCCTTCCTTTCTTCCTTCCCTCCCTCCCTCCCTCCCTTCTTTCCTTCCTTCCTTCCTTCCTTCTTTCCTTCCTTCCTTCTTCCTTCCCTCCCTCCCTCCCTCCCTTCTTTCCTTCCTTCCTTCCTTCCTTCCCTCCCTCCCTCCCTCCCTCCCTTCTTCCTTCCTTTGTTCCCTCCTACAAATATCTATCAAGTACCTATCAGATGCCTATGATCCCGTATGACTAACCCTTTTTCCTTCCTTCCTTTCTGCCTGGCTGCCTGCCTGCCTCCCTGCCTTCCTTTCTTCCTTCCCTCCCTCCCTCCCTCCCTCCCTCCCTCCCTCCCTTCCTTCCTTCCTTCCTTCCTTCTTCCTTCCCTCCCTCCCTCCCTTTTCAACACGTATCTATCAAGTACCTATCAGGTGCTGTGCTCAGTCCAGGAACCTGAAACACAATAGTGAAGGAAGAAAACAGTTGCAGGCTCATGGAGCTTACATTTCAGGGAGGAGACACAATACAGGGCAAAGAAAAAATCGGAGGAGTGACAAGCATCCTTGTGTCATTGCAGAGGCTGGCAGGCAGCAAGGTGGCACGGTCACGTAGGGCCCCTCGCAGGCACTGACAGCCCACTGAAACTTGAATGGCAGGAAGCCGCCAAATGAGGGCGGAGAGAGGTTCCACTCCGAGGCAGCAGCAAGCGCAGAGGCCCGGGGAAGGAAAAGGAAGGGAACAGCAAAGCAGGTGAGCCTGGCTGACAGTGGGGAAGAAGGGGGCCAGGAGGGAAGGGAGCCAGAAATAGGCAGGACCTCAGCCAGAGCAGGTGGGCCCCGTAAGGAGTGGGAGCTTATTACAAGAGTGTTGTGGAGGGCGGGAAACAGTGCAGGGAAGGGATCTGATTTATGTTTTACAATGAGGTTGAGGCCAGGCCTGATGGTTCATGCCTGTAATCTTATCCCTTTGGGAGGCCGAAGTGGGAGGACTGCTTGAGGCCAGGAGTTTGACACTAGCCTGGTCAACATAATGTGACTCCCGTCTCTACAAAAAAAATTTGAACAAGTATGTCAGGCATGCCCTCATGTGCCTATATTCTTAGCTACTTGGGAGGTTGAGGCAGGAGAATCACTTGAACCCAAGAGTTCAAGGATGCAGTGAGCTAGGATCATGCCACTGCACTCCAGCCTGGGTGATAGAAAAAGACCCCCTCTCCAAAAACAAACAAACAAAATGAAACACTGAGGTTGTCAGAATCGAAGGACAGAGAGGACCTCTCAGGATCCCTGTCCCTAGCTTGAGGGCGGAAACCAGACTGCTGGAGCCCTGAAGATTTTTGGAGAATTCAGAGAGACCGGGAGAACCTCACAGTCATGAGTGGTATCTCAGGAGAGCTGCTTTACTTTTTTGAGAAAAATAGAAGTGACTATGTTTGCACACTGTGGGTTGTGAAGAAGTCCAGACAGGAATATATATATGCAGACTATAAATGCAGCAAGGTCCATGCAATACATGCTGATCTGTAGACGTGCACACAGATGGACATGCATATACATGCGTGCCCACAGACACACAGGCAGATGACACTGATAAGCTCAACCCCATGGATGTCAAGATGTGAAGGAAACTGGTCCGCTCATCCACATGGGAACTAATAGGGACTTGGTATGCAAAACTGTGGCCTCTTCTTCTCACACACATGCACCTGCACACATGCCATATCAACACACACAGGACACGCATGCACATGCATATGCACAAACACTGGGTGCACATGCTCAGACCTGTTTCTTCCCCATCAGTTGGACATTTCTGGAACAGACATTTCCAGGAACAGGGAGTCCTCCCTTTGCACGGCTTCTCCTCTCCAACCAAGGCCAGTGACATCCAACCCTCCATCCCTGCACCGGCTAAGGGCTCAGGCACTCACTGGGCACCATGGCGAAGGCCGGGAGGTACTCAGCTGTGAGCAAAGGCGTCGGCAGCTTCCGGATGAACCTTTTGAGCAAATCGGAGGCGTCATTGTGATGAACCTCGTCCCAGCTAAAAAGGCCAGTGTAGAAATCTCTCTCCAGCTTCTGTTCTAGCCCCTACAGAAAGGAGGGGCATGAAAACACAGTTGACCCAGGGCTTCCATAGAATAGGAATAGTTTTACACTGTTGTTGGGAGTGTAAATTAGTTCATCCATTGCGGAAGACAGTATGGTGATTCCTCAAGGATCTAGAAATAGAAATTCCATTTGACCCAGCAATCCTATTACTGGGTATACACCCAAAGGATTATAAATCATTCTTTTATAAAGACACATGCTCACATATGTTTATTGCGGCATTGTTTACAATAGCAAAGACCTGAAACCAATCCAAATGCCCATTGATGATAGACTGGACAAGGAAAATGTGGCACATATACACCATGGAGTACTATGCACCCATAAAAAATGATGAGTTCATATCCTTTGTAGGGACACGGATGAATCTGGAAACCATAATTCCCAGCAAACTGACACAAGAACAGAAAATCAACCACCACATGTTCTCACTCATAGCCGGGTGTTGAACAATGAGAACCATGGACACAGGGAGCAAAGCATCACACACTGGGGTCTGTTGAGGGGACGGCTAGGGAAGGGACAGCAGGAGGTGGGGAGGTAGAGGAGGGATAACATGGGGAGAAAATCCAGATATAGGTGACAGGGGGATGGAGGCAGCAAACCACATTGCCATGTATGTACCTATGCAACAATCCTGCATGATCTGCATGGACCTCAGAAACTAAAGTACAAAAATAAAATAAAATAAAAAGAAGAAGTTGCTCTGCTGCTTTTCTGGGGCTCAGTTTCCTCATCTGCAAAGTGGGGACAACAAGAGCACCTCCCTCATGGGGTTGATGTGAGGACGAAATGGCCTAATGTGTGTGCCACTGAGCATGGAGCTCTGCTCATTAAACACTGGTGGTCTGACTCCAGGGCCCACACTCTCCGCCACCATGCCAATCCTGCCACCTTCAGCCTTTCAAATCCTCAACCCCCACAGAGACCAAAGACCGATCACTGGCAAGCCAGGAACTGGATTCTCTCCCGGTTTAACACACATGCAAGGATCGGGGAAAGCCAAATCATTACCTTGACCCTGGCCTGGGATCCGGGCACCCTGAGAATGCCTTCCATGTCCAGTCCTCTCTTTTCCAAACAGGACAGCAGCTGTCAGAGAGAGAGAAACCAGCATTTAAACCAGGAACTGCGGGCGTGTTTGTCTCCCATGAAAATCAGAAAGAGGAGTACCAGGAGAAGGGTTTCCCTCATAGTAATCGTTTTCGTGACCACTTCCATGAGCCAGGCATTCTGAGAGCTTTATATACATTTTTCTCATTTGGAGGAGGATACTGTTGTTATCATCCCAATTTACAGATGTTGAAAGGGAGGCTCATGAAAGTTCAGAAATCCACCCTTGACTTTAAGATTCAGAAGTTGAAAAGAAAAGAAAAGAAAAGAAAAATCCACTCTAAGGATTACTTGAGGCCAGGAGTTCAAGACCAGCTTGGGCAACATAGTGAGACCCTGTCTCTACAAAAAAGTTAAGACAAAATAAAAACAACAAAAATCCACTCTAGGTCTCTGAGCTAGCAAGTAACAGAGCCAGAATTTGAACCCAGGTCTTCCTGATTCTAAAGCCCATCCTCTCACCCCTTTGCTAGCTGTCTCCTGACAATGTCTCCCAGAGCCAGCCTCTGATGGATTAAATAAACCCAAGCTGGGGACGACTTACAGCTTGAAGGACCAGCGGGACCTGCGTGCTGGGGAGGACTTTGTGGTCAGCTTCCAGCAGGCTGTCAAGGGATACGCCGAAGAGGCGAGTTTCTGCAGGAAGTCAAAGAGCGGAAGGTGTATTTCACTTCCTGGAACCACCATTGGGCTCTGACCTGCAAGACCTTCTGGGCACACCTCTTTTCCTGTGGAAGGACTGAGCTCTCTAGAGAATGGCTGCACCCAAACCTCTCCTCTTGAGCAGAACATCTGGCCTCAGCAGTAACGAAAACACTACTGCTGAGGAGGTATGTCTCAGAGCAGAAAATCTCAGCTGGATAAAGAAGTATTGAAAAGGTTGGGCATTGGGGCTCATGCCTGTAATCCCAGCACTTTGGGAGGCCGAGGTGGGCAGATCACGAGGTCAAGAGATCAAGACCATCCTGGCCAACATGGTGAAACCCCGTCTCTACTAAAAGTATAAAAAATTAGCTGGGCATGCTGGTGTGTGCCTGTAGTCCCAGCTACTTGGGAGGCTGAGGGAGGAGAACTGCTTGAACCTGGGAGGCAGAGGTTGCATTGAGCCGAGATCGCACCACTGGCGGCAGAGTGAGACTCCGTCTCAAAAAAAAAAAAAAAAAAAAAAGCTGAGCATGTCTTGGTGGGAGGGTCCATGCATAGCTCCCTATGAGAAACCAGGACTGCGGCCACAAGGTTTTCCCTGGGCGGGGGCTGCTCACCTGCTGCTTTCCACTTCCCCGCCTTGCTCCTCTTCAGGTCCAAGCCAAGGACGTCACACAGCGCGGTCAGCTCTATGAGGGCCAGAGAAGGCACCTTCCTCATATCCTGCAGGGACAAGTCCCCTATCCTCGTCACACCAAGTCTGCCTTTGGGGATGGTGAACTTCTATTATCAGAGAGGGAAGTTAAAGATAATTTGTCAGGCCATGTATCTGATGTGTATTTTGGGGCTCCCTCACTTCCCCTGGGCATTTAGGCAGAAGGAAGAGCGGTGTGGATAAGAGTGGGTGCTCAGGAGTCCATCCTCAAGTCAAGTCCAAGCTCCACCTCTTGCAAATGAGCTGACATTCTGAGCCTTTGATTCTTCATCCATAATCATAAAATAGAGCCTATCTCAGGAGGTTTTTGTGTGTTTGTTTGTTTGTTTGAAGACACAATCTTGCTGTGTTGCCCAAGCTGGAGTACAGTGGCATGAACATTGCTCACTGCAGCCTCAATCTCCTGGGCTCAATTGATCCTCCTGCCTCAACCTCCTGAGTAGCTGGGACTACAGGTGCGCACCACGACACCTGGCTAATCTTTGTATTTTTTGTAGAGACAAGGTTTCCCTATGTTGCCCAGGCTGGTCTCAAACACCTAGGCTCAAGCATTTCTCCCAGCCTCCCAAAGTGCTGGAACTACAAGCGTGAGCCATTGCAATAGCCTCATAAGATTTTTGTGGGAGCGAATGAGCTAATGGATATAAAGTGTTTAGCACAGTCCCAAGGACATAGCGAAGCCCCAGGAAACGGAGGCTGTTTTCACTGCCCGCCCTCCCACAAGAGGGCCTGGAGGAGAGGGATCACTCCAGGGGCCTCACTATTATTGCTTCTACTCTTGCCTTTGTTCCTCTCCCTCACCAGGTCTGTCTCCAGCCTTTGCCAAGCCACCGCAGAAATAAAGAATGCTCAACTCTGCCATCTAGAGGCCACCTTGGGAATCGGCAGGCAGGTCCAGGCTTTCCTCTGCCCAAGGTGAGAGCGAAGGCAAGCAGGAGGGCAGGGCTTGCTCAGCACTGCTTGGAGGGTGTGATCAGGCCACTTCCCAGTGCTCAAAGGGAAAGGAATAGTAATTGATACTTATAATACAGCCTAGTGCTTGGGGCATGGGCTACCGAGTCATTCCCCCTGGGTTCAGTCTTGCTGTGTTGCCCAAGCTGGAGTACAGTGACATGAACATTGCTCACTGCAGCCTCCATCTCCTGGGCTCAATCGATCCTCCTGCCTCAACCTCCTGAGTAGCTGGAACTACAGGTCCCAGCTTTATCTGTGAGTGTAGGCAAATAATTTTACCTGTGTGTTCATCTGCAAATGGAACTGATAACAGTATTTACTTCACAAGACTGGTGGTGAGATTAAATTCAATAAATCATATGAAACATGGTTCCCGACACATAGTGAGTACTCAGTACTTATTACCATGTTTATTTACACACTTAATAGAATGAAATTAAATCAAATATGTGAAGTACTTGGCATAAAGCCTAGTGTATGGTAAAAGATCAATATGTGATGTCTTTAGCATTATTATTACTCAGAGAAGGGTCTTGCTCTGCCGCCCAGGCTGAAGTGCAGGGGCACAATCACAGCTCACTGTAACCTTGAACTCCTGGGCTCAAGCAATCCTCCTGCCCCAGCCTCCTGAGTAGCTAAGATTACAGGCACACATCACCAAACCCAACTTCTTTTTTTTTTTTTTTTTTTGAGACGGAGTCTCACTCTGCTGCCCAGGCTAGAGTGCAGTGGCATGATCTCCACTCACTGCAACCTCTGTCTCCCAGGTTCAAGCAATTCTCCTGCCTGCACCTCGCAAGTAGCTGGGATTATAGACGTGCACTTCCACACCCAGCTAATTTTTGTGTTTTTACTAGAGGGGTTTTCACCATGTTGGCCCATCAGGTCTCAAACTCCTGATCTCAAGTCATCCACCTGCCTTGCCCTCCCAAAGTGCTGGGATTATAGGCATAAGCCACCGTGCCTGGCCCACACCCAATTATTTTTTAAACTTTTTTCTAGAGACGGGGTCTTGCTGTGCTGTCCAGGTTGGTCTCGAACTTCTGGCCTTGAGCGATCTTCCCACCTCAGCCTTCCAAAGTGCCAGGATTAAAGGTGTACACCATCATGCCTGGCCCTTTAGCATGATTAATTATCATCATTCATAATTTAATAGAGAAAAATTACCAAGGAAGAAGACAAGAAAATTTTGAATGTTAATTATCTCTGATGTTTTAGAAATAGAAACTCATTATTTAAAAATTTTAGACCAGGTGCATTGGCTCACACCTGTAATCCTAACACTTTGGGAGTCTGAGGTGGGTGGATCAACTGAGGTCAGGAGTTCAAGACCAGCCTGGCCAACATGGTGAAATCCCTTCTCTACTAAAAATACAAAAATTAGCTGGGCATGGTGGCACATGCCTGTAATCGCAGCTACTCAGGAGGCAGAGACATGAAAATCACTTGAACATGGAAGGTGGAGGTTGTAGTGAGCCGAGGTTTTGCCACTGTACTCCAGCCTGGGCAACAGAGTGAGATTGTCACAAAAATAAATAAATTAATTAATTAAATAAAAGTGTTATTTGTTGTACTATGATTATGGAGGATATTATCACTGAGATAAACTAGGTGTAGAGTATGTGAGAGCTCTGTTTTTACAACTTCTTGTGGGCCTAAAAGTATTTAAAAGGAAAAAGTTTAAAAGGAAATTCACAAATTCAAATTCAATTTGAATGAGTGGAAGTACTCTCACATTGGAACAGAGGCTACTGCAGGGGATGGGGCCTACTTCCTAAGCAGTAGAGAGTAGTAATCAGTTGGGAAGGCTCTGGGGTCAGGCTGCCAGGTGTTCCAGTCCTGGTCTTTGCAAGACAATTCTGTCATTTCCCTCTCTGGGAGCCATGATATTGTTTGGCTCTTCCCCCCACCAAATCTCATCTTGAATTCCCATGTGTTGTGGGAGGGACCATGTGGGAGGTAATTGAATTATGGGGGCAGGTGTTTCCTGGGCTGTTCTCGTGATATTGAATAAGTCTCACAAGATTGGATGGTTTTAAAAAGGGGAGTTTCCCTGCACAAGCTCTCTTCTCTTGTCTGCTGCGATGTGAGACATGCCTTTCATCTTCCACCATGATTGTTAGGCCTCCCCTGCCACATGAACTGTAAGTCCATTAAACCTCTTTCATGCCTTTATCACAGCATGAAAACAGACTAATACCTGCCACTTCTCTTTTTGTTTTTTCTTTTTTTTTTTTTTTTAGAGACAGGATCTTGTTCTATGGCCCAGGCTGGAGAGAAGTGATGCAATCATAGCTCACTGCAGCTTCAACCTCCCAGATACAAGTGATCCTCCTGCCTCTCGAGCACCTAAGACTATAGACCTGAACCATCAAGCCTGGCTACTTCAAAAATTTTTTGTAGATATATGTATTGTTATGTTTCTCAGGCTAGTCTCAAACTCCTAGACTCAAGCAATCCTCTCACCCTGGCCTCCCAAAGTGCTGGGATTACAGTCGTGAGCCACTGTGCCTGGCCCTACTTCTCCTTTTTTTCTATCATACAGTCAGGGAGAAATGAGGGTACTGGAAGCCTTGGAAACAATGCCCTGGGTCAGGGCAGCCCTCAGTAAAATGTTACCTAAGATTACATCAACTACATCAGCACGTAGTCAACGAAGAAACACTTTCTCTAGTAACAGTGGGACTGCGAAAGACTATTTTCACTCCGTGAGAGAAGTCAGAATAGTGGTTATTCTGTGGAGAAAGGGATTACCTGGGAAGGACATGGGGGAGCTCAAGGGGTGGTGGGGCAGGAAGTTTCTTTCTTTTTTTCCCATATTACAAGTTATCAAGCAAGGGAGGAAGTTTCTGTACTGATTTGGTGGTATTTACACAGGTATACATGCCAAACTGTACATGGTAATTATCTGAACTATAACTCAGTTAATGGTGAGTTATAGTTCAATCTTTAAAAACCTATCAGTGATTACATCTTATTTGGAAGGAACTATGCTGGGATAGTTGAATATTTGGGGGAAATAAAACAGCCAGGTGCAGTGGCTCACACCTACAATCCCAGCACTTTGAGAGGCTAAGGCTGGAGGATTGCTTGAGCCCAGGAGTTTGAGACCAACTCCTGAAACTAACTCTAAAAATTTTTTTTTAATTAGCTGGGCATGGTGGCATGCAACTGTAGTCCTAGCTACTTGGGAAACATATGTGAGGATAGCTTGAGCCTGGGAGTTTGAGGCTGCAGTGAGCTGAGATGGCACCACTCCACTCCTGCCTGTGTGACAGAGCGAGACCTTGTCTCAAAGAATAAAGAAAGAAGGAAAAAAGGAAGGAAGGAAGGGAGGGAGGGAAGAGAGAGAGAGAAAGAAAAGAAAGCAAAAGAAAGAAAAGGAAGAAAAAGGAAGGAACAGAAAGAAAGAAGAAAGAGAGAAAGAAAGAACTGAAATGTTAGGTCCCTCTCTGTCATCCCAGGCACTAAAATTAATTTTAAAAGTAACTAGAAAACCATACGTTGATGGACAGTTACAAGCTTGCTGGAGGAGGAAGGGCTTTCTAAGGATAAAAACAAAGATCATGGCGACAATCCTGACAGGCCTGCTAGACTATAAGCACCCTGCTCCCCAGTCCTTCACACCCAGTGGTCACTCAGTAAATATTTGTGGTACAAATTAAATGAATGAATGATTCAACAACTTCTGTGCTGGGTGCCTGTCAGTGTGGAAGGTGTGAAGAGATGGGTGCTGGTGCCTGAGCACAGGTGGACCTAGCCACCACCCTCTGGACAGTGTCCTCACCGGCAGGGAACACTTGCCCCAAGCAGAGGCACCTCCCGGTGATGAGCCGCTCCTCTGCAGGAGCACCGCAGCTTGTTCTGAGTAGGCAGAGTCCATGTTGAAGGCTTCTTCCCTCCCAGTCTGCTCCAGCAGCCCCCCAGGCTCTGCTGCTGCAGGGGAAACAAAGCAGAAAGGCAGTGAGAACTGGCTACCAGGAAGCAAGTGCTGGGGTTCCGGACTTAGGCCCTTAGTCCTAAGAAGTGATCTCCCAGGCTCAAGTTCAAAGCCCCAGGATCAAATAATTAGGTTTAGGACTCAGGCTTATTGCCCAGGAAGTGATTTCCTAGCTAAGACCCTCACTGCCCCAGGAAGTGATTTCCTAGCTAAGGCCCATTACCCCCAGGAAGTGATTTCCTAGCTAAGGTCCATTGCCCCCAGGAAGTGATTTCCCAGCCAAGACCCACTGCCCCCAGGAAGTGATTTCCTACTTAAGGCCAATTGCCCAGGAAGAGATTTTTCCCATCTTGAGGCCCATGGGCCTGATGGCAACACCTCACTTAAGGGCCCAACCTGTCCCCTTAGGGCTCCTCCCTACTGCCCTTGAGCAGGGAAGGCAGGGAGTCAGCAGGAAGAGGGAAAGGCTGGGAGGTACACACCTTCTCTTACTTCACAGAGCAGCCCTTTGTGCAGCCTAGAAGATTCTCAGGGCCCTGGAGAATGAAGACCACTTACCTGGAGGAGATTTAGAGGCCCCGGAACTGAGCTGGGCCCATTTCATACTGGAGTCCCCATTCTCTGATGACATTTTCTATGCAAATTACAGACAGTGCCCAATTAGTCATGTGGGAAGCAGACAATGCTTGCATAACCCTAGGAGATAGGAGCCACTCACAACTCCTTTACACAGATGGAGCCACTGACGGCCAGAAGCTAAGTTACCTGCCCGAGGTCCCACAGTGGCTAAATGGGGGAATGGGCACTGGGGCCCAAGTCTGGCTCACTCCAATGCCTGTAGTTTTAATCAGTGCATTATGCCACTTCAGAGCTGCTCCAAGAAAGATGATGCCCACAACCTATCATCAGGCTTTAAGTGTCAGCAGGGCACATAGTGACAATAAAAAAGTATTTTGTACTGATAATGAGGTAAGAGGTGGGACTTTGGCTGAAACAGGGAAGAAGCAAAAACACCTCTCCATAGGACATGCCCACAGTGCCATGACAGTTTACCATTGCCATGGTAACACTTGGAAATTACTGCCCCTTTTCTAGAAATTTCTGAATAACTCACCCCTTAATTTGCATGTAATTAAAAGGCAGAACTGCTGCTGCCCTGCCACACTGGACACACTGCTACGGGGTGGCCCTGCTCTGCAGGAGCAGTCACAGCCCAGTGTCACTGCCACCTCCATAAAGGTGTTTTCTTCTACTACCAGCTCACTCTGGAATTCTTTCCTGAGTGAAACCAAAACCTCCCAGAGCTAAACCCCAACTTTGGGGCTTGCCTGACCTGCATCAATAACAATTATATAGGAGCAACGTAGGCTTTCAGGCTCACCCAAGCACACACAGTGGCAACAGGCATATATATATATGCAGGGGCGTGCATGGCAGATGAAGACCTACATGCAATGTAGGGACATAGTGGAGGGCGGGAAGACATACATGTGCAAACCCATGCACTCTAAATGCATACACACATACCAACACACACCCCAACACACACACCCCAACACACACATATACTAACACACACACCAACACACACATATACCAACATACACAGCAACATACGCACCAACACGCAAACACACCCTAACAAGCACACACATCCCAACACACACACCCCAAAACCAACACACACATCCCAATACACACACCCCAACACATGCACACACACAAACACACACCCCAATGCACACTTACCCCAACACACACATACCCCAACACAACACACACATGCCAACACACACACCCCAATATACACACACAAACACACCCCAACACACACACACCCAACACATACACCCCAACACACAGCCAATACACACACCCCAACATATGCACACACCCCAACACACACACATACCCAACACACACCCCAACATATACACACACCCAACACACACCCCAACACATGCACACACACACCCCAACACACACACCCCAACACAGCCCTGCAGCAGAATCACTACATCTCTCAGGCTGCAGTGGCAGCACAGAGACCCCAGTCAGACAGGGTCTGCAGCAACTCATATGCCACTCACCCCGGAATTGAAGACCCCAAAGACATCCCTGACATCTCTGACAGGTGCCTTTTGTCGTCTTCGCAGTGAGCGAGTATAGATGTCCAGCCGGCGGCACACAGCAGCCACCTGGGTCTGTGTCAGGGTGGACAGGAGCTCCTGGTGATCACCGTCCAAGCCCAGGCCACCAAGGAGGCCCGACAGGCCTGTGTCCTGCAGCCACTGGGATTCAGCTTCCCCTTCTGCCAATGGAAGTGAAATCCAGATGAACACACACAGCTCTGCACTCGGCCACACATGCTAACCAAAGCTCCGCGTGGAAGCACACATTCACCTGGACACAGGAGTTCCTGCGTATGACTGTGAGACCTATGAACACCAACCAGGCTCTTTGGGGAAGAAGATCTAATGAGCCACCTGAGAACTGGGGGTGGGGTGGGGGGTTACTGATGACATTAGCCAGTGTGTGGATGTCAACCCATAACATAGCAATCCCTGGAAAACAGAGCTGGCTGAAGAAGGGCACCACATGTTCTGATTTTGGACCCACTTCTCTCCAAAGTAATGAATCCACTTCTCCAAAATCTGTCAGAGACCACCACAGAGTCACATGGTGTCCCCTTGGGAAGTTGGTGCTGGGAGTCGATTTCCCCTTGGGAAGTCCTCCATGTTCAAGACCTTGTTGGTGTTGGAATTGTCCCTTCGACTGTGCTTCCTAAGGAAACTGTCATAGTCCCATAGCAAAACCATTAATTGGAATGGGAGTGTGTGTTGAGACTGCAGGATCTTGGATCCTGCCTCCAGAGATTCTGCACAGGAATTCAGACCTCGAGCCTGAGAATCTGCACTTGGAATATCTTCCTCAGATTATTCTAACGCAATAGGGTCTTCAGATCACACTTGAGAAACACTAGCCTTATCATGGAGGAAGTGGACCAGGGCTCGTACGAGAGTTCAGCTGGAAATTGAACACATGTGCAAGAGGATTGGTAGTTGTACCCAGTGCTGACCAAGTTAGTCAACAAGGCAATAGTTGTTTTTAAAAACCCAAACAAAACTGCTTTTATGGCAGCCCAGGGTGTGCAAGTCTTCCCCCAACATTTTCCCTGCCCTTGGGAACCAGAACAGATGCCTCCAGGGCAGCCACAGTGTTGCGGGTCCATTCCTGACTTGTGCTTGCTGGAGGTACTGATTCTATCACGATACCAGACATTTTTTTGTTTGTACAGGATCCTTTCAATGAGCCACTGTTTCTTGAAATTCACCTACCACCTTTGTAATTTTTATCTGTATCTAATTATCCCCTGTAAAATTCCTTACGAAATATATTCCCTTAATCACAGGCTACATTTTTCACTTAAAAAATCTATTTTAAAAGGAAACATCCCCACCATAAATGGAGCATCCATCATCACCTGCCGTGAGTAGACATTGATGGGAAAAATAAATTATTAGCAATCCTTCTGGTTCAAGTTGGTGTCTAAATAAAAAGAAAAGATGGCCGGGCACAGTGGCTCACGCCTATAATCCCAGCACTTTGGGAGCCAAGGTGGGCAGATCACCCAAGATTAGGAGTTCGAGACCGGCCTGGCCAGCATGGCAAAACCCCACCTCTACTAAAAATACAAAAATTAGTTGGGTGTGGTGGTGAATGCAGTAGTCCCAGGTACTTGGGAGGCTGAGGCAGGAGAATCGCTTGAACCCAGGAGGTGGAGGTTGCAGTGAGCCAAGATTGCTCTACTGCACTCCATCCCGGGCGACAGAGTGAAACTCTGTCTCAAAAATCAAATAAATAAGAAAGAAAGGAGGAAGAAAAACAATCTTGGCTCCATGCTACTCAGGATCCCTCTGCCCTCTGAGTCTAAAAAAGTTCCTGTGTTTATTTAGTTGCCCGAAGTGGCTTCTCTCTGACCCACTCTTACTCCACTCCCTCTGTGTTGTTGGAAATTAGATTGCTGGCCACATCATGACACCAGATAGGTCACATGGAGGAGGACGTCTGACACAGGGCATCTCCTGAAGCCACTCTAGTGTCACCGTGGATTTTTTACATTCCACACTTGGAGGCTCTGCATGTGACTATTAGGCCCTTCGGAGGTTTGCATCACCACATGGTCTGTTTTGCCAACCAGGGGCAAGCCCAGCTGAGTTAATTATATGCCAAACCAGGAAGGGTTCCACGTGAGCCCTTTCATTCCCTCATGTGCTGAACAAGTAAGGATGGAGGATGGGAATGTGCTTGGGTCTGTTCTAGGCACTGTGGACACAGCAATGAAAAGGGCTGATGATGTCCCTGGCCTCACGGAAGTTACATTCTAGTGGGGGTCACAGATGCATGCACAGTAAAGTGTGCTAGGTAATGTCAGGCAGCGATCATTGCTGTAGCAATGAATAAAGTAGGGGAGGGGCTAGAGAGTGATGGGCAGGGGTGCTATTTTATGTAGGGAAGCTTGTGAAGACCTCTCTGAGGAGGTGACATTTGAGCCCAGTCCTGATAGGAGAGAACAAGTCGTGCAGATGCTTGGGCAAGACCATTTTAGGCCAGAGGAGCAGTGAGGACAAAGGACCTAAGGCAGGAAAGTGCTTTTATGGTCAGAGACCAGCAAGGAGGCCTGAGGGCAGAAGTAGAGTGACACCTAGCCAGGGTGGAAGGAGAAGAGGCAGAGAGGAGGCATGAAGCCAATTTTGTAAAGCCTGATAAGTTACGATCTGGTGGCTTTATTACATGTCCCCAAATTCTTTGACTCTCACTCCATCACAAGGTGGAGTCTAATTCCCATCTCTTTGAACATAGCTACATGCAGGGCAATAGAATGTAGCAGAAGCAATGATGTCTTTCTTCTAAAACTGGGTCATAAACAGCAAGACAGCTTCTACCCAGCTCTCTCTGTTGGTCTTGTGCTTAGAACACAGCTGCCATTCTGTGAGGAAGCCCAGGCCACATGTGGAGGCCTCATGCAGGTATTCCAGATGATAATCCCAGATGAGGCCCCCTGTTGATCACATCCACCACCAGACACATAGATGAGAAATCTTCTGAGATGACTCCAGCCACAGCCACCATTTGATTGTAACTTCATGAGAGACCCTGAGCAAGAACTGCCTAGCTGAGCCCAGTCAACCCTCCAACAGTGAGGTTTAGTAATAGTCATAACAATTAATTATTGTTGCATTATGCTGCTAAGTTTGAGGTGGTTTGCTACATAGTAGTAGATAATAGGGGCACATAATTGTCTATTACTCTGAGATAGATGGAGAGATATATGAGGATTGCAGATGGCTTAGAATTTCCCTAGAATGTTAGCTCCCTGGATAGGAAACTGTTTTGTGTTCATTGTTGTATCCCAGTGCTTAACTAGTGCCTGGCACATCATAGGCACTCAATAAATATTTCCTGAAGGACTCACTCTAAAGAGAGACATAATCTAATTTGCATTACTAAAAGATCGTCTTGACTGTGGCATGGAGGACAGGCAATAAGCAGCACAGGTGAAGTGGGGAGAGCAGTGAAGAGGATACTGCACCAGTCCAGGCAACAGAGAAAATGCTGTCATGTTCTGATTCATGTCTGGATCCTCTCACATTTCTCTGCCTGGAATCAAGCCCTCATACTACCCCTACAGGCCCCAGCCAGGGTCCCTCACCCTCTGGAAGCTGGCCTTCATTCCCGCCACTGTCCTCTTCCCTCAGCTCATCCCTCTGTTGGATCCGTTCCACCTCCATCCAAAAGCTGTCCATGCTGGAGCTCTCTGCTGAGGACATCCGGGAGCGGGAAGAGCCAGCAGGGCGTGGTCGCAGGGGATTCTTCTGGGGAAGCTGATTCATTCGGCCCGAGGAGGGGCCAGAGCTGTAGCAAGTGGGGAAGGTGCAGGGAGATCAGGTCTGTGCTGAGGCTTGTGGCTTTCCAGAAATCAGCCTGGGGCCCCTGAGGGCTGAGAAAGCTTCCCAGGCATGTTTTTCAGAGTGATCTCAGCAAATTGACTGGTGACCCCTCACCCCTGCGGGATCCTTGGAAACCAGCGATGCTGCATGGGACAGAGACCACTGCTTGCTTCCACATTCTTGGTCAAGGCAAACAGGCTTGGACATACATATGGTAGAGGCAGCATTCACAAGAGGAAACTAAACACCACACCAGGCTAGGAAATGACAGGGCAGTGCCTCATGATCAAACTGAATTTTTACCCAGAGCGTCTCCTGTCTTGTTCCCTCACACCTCCTCCTTTGTGAGTCTGGCTGCCAAGCACTGCTTGTATCACCGGAGCACCTCATCTCCTCCTTTTCCCAGACAGCGCTGACTAGAGCAAGTACCTGATCACAGAGGCACTGTACATAACTGAGCAAATCTCATTCCCTCAAGGTGTTGAACCAAGGACAGAGGGGTCAGTATCAGACACATGAACCAGAAGCCAGGTGGTGCTGGAGGGGCTGGAGTGGCCAATCTTCCAAGAAAGCAGAGAGGGGCCCCTCTGCAGCCATGGAGGGATGTGGGGTGGCCTAGGCTTGATTTTCCAGGTCCCAGTTGCAGCCTCTCATGATCCAGGCTATGCGGTTTACCCCTAGAGCCCCAACTCCTACATCCTTCCCTTTAATCCCCCTCTTCTTCCCAAGCTACACTGAATGAATTTCTGCTTCATGCAATCAAAAAATCTCAGAGTAAGACACTGCAAGTTTCCTGGTTCATATAAATGAAGTCCAGGACTTCAGAAGAGCTTAAGAACAAAATGTCTCTGCTGCCAGTCCAAATCCTTGAGAAATGGTGGGGTTGGTCATAATGACAAAAATACTAGACTGGAATCTCCTAGACCTTTAGCAAATAGACCGCAAACTACCCCTGCCAGAAGAGAGGGAAGAAATCCATTTTCCCATTTTCCGCAAATAGGAAAAATGTATATTCTGCAAGTTCTATAGGTATTTAAGTGCCCATGTGGAAACAAACAAAAGGCGGAAACCAGTAAACATCGAGTTTGATCTGCCCTATTAAAAAAGAAGATTGGCCATGAGCGGTGGCTCACGCCTGTAATCCCAGCACTTTGGGAGGCCAAGGCCAGGTGGATCACGAGATCAAGAGATCGAGACCATCCTGGTCAACATGGCGAAACCCCGTCTCTACTAAAAATACAAAAAATTAGCTGGGCATGGTGGCGCGTGCCTGTAATCCCAACTACTCAGGAGGCTGAGGCAGGAGAATTGCCTGAACCCAGGAGGCGGAGGTTGCGGTTAGCTGAGATCACGCCATTGCACTCCAGCCTGGGTAACAAGAGTGAAACTCCATCTCAAAAAAAAAAAAAAAAAGAAGAAGATTCGGCTGGGTGCGGTGGCTCACACCTGTAATCCCAGCACTTTGGGAGGCCAAGGCGGGTGGATCACCTGCGGTCAGGAGTTTGAGACCAGCCTGTCCAAGATGGTGAACCCACAAAACATTAGCCAGGTGCGATGGCAGACACCTGTAGTTCCAGCTACTTGGGAGGCTGAGGCAGGAGAATCGCTTGAACCCAGGAGGCAGAGGTTGCAGTGAGCCGAGATTGTGCCATTGCACTCCAGCCTGGGTGACGAGCAAAACTCTATCTCAAAAATAAAATAAAATAAAAAGAAATAAAAAAGAAGACTCATTTGGATTAAAAAGGGAAAGTCATCCACATGCTGTTTTTTTTTTAATTATGCTTTTCTGTTTTTGTTTTGTTTGTTCATTTTTGTTTTTTTGAGACAAGATCTGCTTCTGTGCCCCAGGCTGGAGTACGTGGCATGACACAATTTACTGCAACCTCCGCCTCCCAGGCTCAAGCCATCCTCCCACTTCAGACTCCTGAGTACCTGGAACTACAGGCACATGCCATCATGCCTGGCTAATTTTTGTATTTCTCATAGAGACAGGGTTTTTGCAATGTTACCCAGGCTGGTCTCAACCTCCTAGGCCCAAGCAATCCACCTGCCTTTGCTTCCTAAAGTATTGGGATTACAGGAGTGAACCATTGAGCCCAGCCTTAAAACATACTTTTGTTAGCTATATTTTCCATTATAAAATCAATATGCAGTAACTGTAAAAACTCCCAGCAATGCAGAAGTGAGCAAAGTAGAAAATCAATCATTCTCCTGTGACTACGACCGCATTTTCCACGCTAACACTTCGGTGTGCAGACATCTCATATTTCTCCCCAGGCGTACTTCACCTAAAGGCATACATATGGTAGAGGCAGCATTCACAAGAGGAGATTAACACCAGGACAGGTGAGGAAATGGCAAGGCAGTCCCTCACAGATCCCACTGAAGTTTCACCCAGAGCATCTCCTGCTTCCTTCCCTCACACCTCCACCTCCTCCTTTGTCAGTCTGGCTGCCAAGCCCTGGTTTTCCTGTTGGTATCAGGAGCATCTCATCTTTTACCCACTCCCAATCAGCTTTGAACAGAGCAAGTACCTGAGCACAGAGGCGTTATGCCTCACTGAGCCAATGTCATTCTCTCAAGGTGTTGAACCAAAGGCAGAGGGGTCAGTATCAGGCACGTGAACTGGAAGCCGTGTGGGGCTGGAGGGGCTGGAGTGGCTCCTCAGTGGGCATTGTTTTGGGCTCATGTCAGCCAAGACACCGAACTCAAGTCTCCACCAGCCCCACAAGCATCCCATGCATGCTAAGCATTTGATAGCTCTTTGCTGAGCAGCTGGATGCTCACAGGCGGGTCCCCACACAGTGCGTTTACTTGAAATATCCCCATCTCCTTTTGATGAAGGTTCGGGTTGTTTCTATTCATCAATATCACAAGTAATACCATCTGATACCTTTGGTCCTTTGTACAGTAGAAGAGAATCCTAGAAGTAGGATTGCTGAATCAAAGGGTTTGTGAAACCTTGCCACATTGCCTCTAAAAAAGGGCTATTTTACTGGATTTTTGTTTGTTTGTTTTGATTTTACCCCTGCTGTCTGCTTAGCCCCCTTGTGGATCCCGTGCCCTGGAGTCCCTGAGGCTGTATTTTGCCCTCTGCCTATGACCTCACTCACTGTTGTCCCCCAACTTTCCGGAGGTGTAACCCAGGACTTAGGGCCAGCTCCATGGCTCTGTGACCTGTTCAGTCACACAGGGCCCGGGTGTAGAAGCGGCCCACACTTGGTTCAGGGCTCCACTTGTCACCATCTCAAAATTCTTCACAATGTTTGAGTGAGGGACCCATGTTCTCTTTGCACATGGCCTGTCCTGCCAGGATTTTACCATAGAGCCTAGCTTATGGCTTCCTCCCAAGCATCCTGCCCACACGGAGCTCGGAGCTCAACTCTGAGTCATAAACAATTCCATCCCGAAACATACTCAAAATGTAGGAAAGCAAAGACACCTCCAATGAGCCAAAGCCGGAAAAAAGGGACAGAGCACAACCTCCTGGCGACATCTCAAGTATCTGCATGGAGCAGAAGCTTCCCTGGAGACAAAGTCTCAGTTAATTATAAAATTGGCTGTTCTGCTCCATTTACGCTTTTCGGGAAAACTGCTAGTCACTGCCTCCTGCGAATCTGTTTGGCGCCCCATGCTGGGGGCGCAGCTCTTTCTTTGGTTGCTTTGCGATCTGCTTTGAAATTACCGGCATCTGTGTATTTTCGTGACAATTTGAAAACTGCAGCAACTAAACCAAAGCAAAATTGTCAACACTATCACCATTGGATAGCTAAGCAGCGAGGGGGCAGCAATTATTTCTTTGGATGAACATTCCGAGGAGGTCAGAGAGGGGCACAGGAAAGAACAGAAACAAAATGAAACCCCCACAGCGCTGAAGGTGTGATTGCTCCAACATACCGTTTTGCAGCGTGCTGGTGAGCATCCCCCTTTTAGGAAGAGAATGACAGGAAGAGAACACAGCCACAAAACGTGTCAGAGCCTCACAAATACAGCTGATGTTTTGTTTTGTTTCCAGCGCTTTGTTGATGTGTAGTGTATGCAAAGAAGTATACATGTTTAAGAATACAGTGGGGTCAACTGTCTCCAGTTGTAATTTGGTTTTTAAACCTTTACTGAATACTTACTACACACCCAGCAGCAAACATTTCCAAGCATAGGTTTCTTTCTCATTACTTTTTTTTGAAAAGGGTCTTGCTCTGTCTGGAGTGCAATGGCGCGATCATAGCTCACTGCAGCCTCAAAGTCTTAGGCTCAAGCAATGCTCCTGCCTCAACCTCCCAGGTAGCTAGAGTTACAGGTACATGGCACCATGCCCAGTTAATATTTTATTTTTGGTAGACGCTAGGTCTTGCTGTGCTTCTCAGGCTGCTCTCAAATGCCTTGACTCAAGTGATCCTCCCAAAGTGCTGAGATTCCACATGGCAGCCATCAAGCCTGGCCAAGCATCAATCAGTTTAATATATCAGTCCCATGTAGGGGTGCTATTGTCTCCAATTCACAGACAAGGAAACAGACCCAACAGGATTGGGGGACCCACCCAGACTTTTCCTGTTGGCAGGTGGCAGAGCCTGGATTTGAACCCAGGTTGCAAGCTCCAGTGCCAGGGTGCTTAACTGCCACACTAGATGATTTAGGGAGCCCTCAGGTGTAAGTGAAGTAATCTGAATGCATTTCCTTCCCCACTGCAGACACTGCGCCATCTCAGAGTTCCCTGTCTCACCAGATGGTACCATCAAGCACTCTGAGAGCCACTCCTCACAGCCACTCTGGTGACTCCACATCCCATGAACCCCTAATGAATTTTACGTTTCATACAACTCTTATATCCACTAACTTCTAACCACCACTCTGGTCCAAGCCACCATCACTTCTCAGCCTGGACCACCTCATTGTAGTCTTCCTGTGTTTCTTCTAGATATCCTTCTCTGGTTCAGAAAGATCTACCAAGCTCACAAAACTTGCCTG